CTGAAGGGTAGGGTACAATTGGCACGGGGGGGAAGTGGGGGGAGCGGGGAGGGAGGGGGGAGAGGACGGGGGCGGGGAGCGCGATCAGGAGAAGGATGAGGAGAAAGAGGAGGAAGATGACCAGGAAAAAGCGGAGGAGGAGGAGCAGGAGGAGGATGAAGACGAGGTTGTGGGGGGACGTATACTCGTCATCGCAGCACGGACGATTGCCCAGGGACCTACGCAGGATTTCCATGCCCGCGAAGTGAGCGCGAACAGGGGAAAGCAATTTCGAAATTGACGCGGACATCGATATATGGAACAGCCGAGGCCTGATGACAGGGGCTAAGGGGAGGACCGTAAAATTTGCGGTAGGGATGGATTCATAGTGAGTGTATGGGATCGCGAGATGTTTTGTGGATTTACGAAGGGCATCAAGCGATAGTTTTGCGCTCGAATCGCCGTTGCACTCTTCTTTGGCACATTGGCAATTGGTGGTGCGCGTTTCTTGGGCGCGGCTAGAACCTGAGCGCGCGTGAAGCGCGCGTGGTTCTAGTATATGTATGTGTGAATGTATGAATGTATGTATGCATGCATGGATGTATGTGCGTGTTTATATCTGTATGTGCCTATCACAGTATCGTTCATCTCCGGATCACCTTCAGCCCTGTTTGTTTAATGTTGTAGTGGTTTGGCTATTATCTCCCATTTACTCTGTCATTTTTTATTTCCGATTGTCGTTCCTTTTTTACTTCTCGTTGTTGGCTCCTCGTCTGTCTACCCTTCTCCCTCCTCGTCTATACGATAGTATGTACCTCTTCTCTCGGTCTTTCTTTTTTTTTTGTTCTCTCTCTCTCTCTCTCTCTGGGCCTGATAGGCTTCATGAGCCCCTTCAGGACGCTTGAGGGTGCCCTGAAGGTGCCCAAAGGAGCTCAAGAAAAGGGGGCCCGAAGGGGCCCCCCCTCTGGACCTGGAGCTCCCCAGACTGGCCCTGCCAGGATCGGGGAGTGTGCGTCGCTGGAGGTCCATCCCGAGGTCCTTGTTGGCAGCCGCCGTGCCTGACAGGGGCTTGGGCAGGCTGCACGTCGTCTTCGCCAGGTCCCCAAAGGTCCCTATAGAGGCCCTGCAAGGCCCTAAAGGTGTTCTAAAGAGTCCAACAGGGCCCGAAAGGGGCCCCTGGGGCTTTGGGGCCCCTGCTCGCTCCGAGAGAGGCCCTGAAGGGCCCCCAATCGGGCCCTTTTCTCGCCCCCCCTCTGTGGGTCCCCCCCACTTACCCTGGCATCGCTCGGACGTGTGCATTTTTTTTCGGCGAGGACAATCGAGGAGCATGTTGGCTCATCTTGCGATGAAATATACGGGGACTGGACGTCCGAACGATGGCGAGCTACCACCGCCCGAATTCGGATCGCGACCCAACGGTTCCTCGAATCGTGTTTTCTTCGGCTTCTCATCCCCCTCCCCCTCGTCTCCCAGGGGTTGCCAGAGGTATCCTTGGCCCAGGAGGTCCCTGGACCCAAGGGCTCTCTGGGCCTCGTCAGGGGTGCTCTGGGCACCAGTGGGGGCCTCTCCGGAGATCATCGGGGCTCAAGAGACAGGGGTCAAGAGTCAGACAGGGGTCAGCCAGAGCGCCGGATCTTGCAGGATCTTGCAGAGCCAGGGCTGCACCGACCCGGGCTTGGATGCAGGACCCTGCAGGATCCGGCAGGATCTTAAAAGGCCCGACTGACCCAGGTTTGGATTGACCCGGGCGAGAAGGTCCCAGAGTGGGGCACCTTGGGCCAGCGGTTCCTCTGGCAGCGCCCGATCCCAGCACGTGAGTGATTGAGGATGCCCTTGCGGGCGCCCAGTCCCCCAGCGTTCCTTGGGCACCTTAGTCCCCCAGCACGTTATTCCACATTATCCCAGCACGTGAGTGCTTGAGGATGCCCTTGCGGGCGCCCAGTGGTCTTGCATGCTTACCCTGCATCCTTAGAGAACCAGTCGTTGACCGTAAGTAGGTATGCTTGGATTCTCATATTCCGATTCACTTTGGTTCCTTCCTATTTCAGGTGTCTAGGGGATTTCCCTTTTCTTTCCTCTTAAGGGTGCGGGCGGCAAGCCTGTCATAAAATTACTGTCAGTGTATTCCTAGTGTGTGTGTGTGTGAGTGTGCCTTGTTGCCGACTGGGGTCGCCCTGCGCTGCCGACTAAAAGAAGTTGTTTGTTGCCACGTCCCAGTATATAGTGCTCTGTCCCTTCGAGCACGCTCTGGCTGCAACACGGAGGGGGTCTAGAGATGAGGTGACGAGGCGTTTGGGTTGTGCGACGGGGCCATCTCCTCTTCCTCTCGTCCTTGCTCCTCACCATGCATCCTCCATCCGTTTTGTTTGTCCCATCGCGATGCGATTCGTTTGCTATGAAGGTGTGTGGTTCGGTCTTAATCGCACGAGCGGGATAGCCCTCCTGAGGGGCAGCGTATCTCTAGTTTTCGGGTAGCCAGAACATCATCCGTCCTTCAGTTTTCGAGTAGGGGGTCATGTTCTAGCTTCTCAGGCACGGACGTGGCACGAGCCTGCCAAGAGATGGTTGTGAAACGAGGGGCGCGTGCGAATGCATTTTCATATCCATCCTTAATCTCCCCATCCATCCTCATCCATCCTAATCTTCCCCTCCTTCTCACTACTCATTCTTCTCTCCCCCGCTTTCTCGCACCTACTACAGCGCCCCAGAATATTCCCGAACCTCGTCTTGATATCCCTCGACGTGAAGCAACAGGATGAGGTGGGGGGAGGAGGAGGAGGAGGAGGAGGAGGAGGAGGAGGAGGAGGAGGAGGAGGTCTTGGTAGCCTCTGGGGGCACTCTTGGGGCCTCCTGGGAGCTTCCTGGGAGCCTCTTGGAGGCGCAGGAAAAGGAGGATGAGGAGGAGGAAGGGCAGGAAGCAGACAGGTAGGTGGAGGAGTGGGTGGGGAGGAATTGAAGGATGGGGCGGCAGGAGAAGGGGTTGTGGGACGATGAGGGGTGGGCATGACGAGACCAGGGGAGGGTGTCTTCACACGTCAGGTCTGTCGCCTCTTGGGACTGTGTGGCAGCCGATCGATACTGGCAAAGCCAGCGGACCCTCAGGCGATTTCGTTGGAGATTGCGGCGGAGGAAAAAAAAAAAAAAAGGAAAAGCTCCAGCGAGCTTTTCGATGCGAACTGAGGAGGCAAGCGGCAGAAGGAGAAGGCGGAGTGGGAGGAGGGAGGGATCGGACCCAGACCCCCCCCCTCGCGTCGTGGTGAAAACAAGCGGGCAGGTTTTTGGCGGTGTTCGGCCTCCACGGGGCTGGGCCGTCAAACAGCGGATCGGCTGAGGAGCCAGTGCCCCAGGAAAGGGTCCGGGCCTTCTGGGTGGGGGGTGCCCCGCTGCGAAGAGAGCGCACGGCGTCGGAGGTCCTAGGGAGAAGAGGGGGAGAGGGGGAGGGGAGAGGGAGGGTGGGGGGATGGGGGAGAGGAGGGGGGAGGGAAGGGGAGAGACGAGGAGGGCTCAGAGAGGAGGGGGGGAGGACGGGAGGATGGGTGGGGAGAGACGAGGAGGGGAGAGACGAGGAGGGGAGAGGCGAGGAGGGGAGATAGGAGGGGGGAGACGAGGCGGAGAGAGAGAGAGAGAGAGAGGAGGGAGAGACGAGGATGGGTGGGGTGGGGAGGCGGAAACGGAAGCTGGCAAGGGAGGAAGAAACTATCTGAACCCGCCCCTTCCACCCTCCTTCATCCTCTGAGGACCGCGGCCCTCTGCACCCTTCCCGCCAGGCCAGGGACGCGTTCCGGCGCATCAGCAGTGTCTGTTTGTCTGTCTGTTTGTTTGTCTGTCCGTCTGTTTGTTTATTCCCTTCTCCCCTCCTCCGTCCCTTCCCTCGTCCTCTCTCCACCTTCCCTCCCATCCCCTCTCCCTCCCCATCCTTCCATTCCGCATCCTTCCTCCTTCGCCCTCCTCCCTCCCTCCTCCCACTACCCCCGCACTCTTTCCCTCCTCTGTGCCGCCCCCTCCTGTTCCCTTCCCCACCCCTCCCGCACGCAGTCTCCTCCCCTCCCCTCTGCCTCTGCCCCCCGCGCGCCCGCCTCCCACGCCCCCCTCCACCCCTCCTCGTGGGCCTGGCTCGCGGGATGTTGGAGGCACGGGAAACCCTCAGCACGCCTCTTCGAACTTGGAAGAAAAATGCATGCTGTCAACCCGCATAGGAAGGATGAGCAACTTCCCAGGGTAACCCTCGCATCCTCCCCCTTCGGCCCATCCTTGGCTGCTTTTGCTGGCCGCGCCCCGCTCACGAAGTGCTGACATGGCCTTCCAAGGCCCTTGCATCCTTATCCTGCGTCCTTGCTGTACGGGTTGACTGTAACAAGAAGCTTTGTAGCTCCGCGCAGATTTCTTGGATCGGCGGTGGGGCCCCCCTGGCGGAGCCTCCGGCGCCGCCTGGTGCGCTCCGCGCGCCAGCGAGCGGGGTCCAGCGCAGATCCAAAATATCCGCGCGGACCGTCGAAAGGTTATGCTTATGCAGTTTCCTGTTCTTCTGCCACAGCAGTTTCCCTCGACTTCTGCCCCCTCATCTCCGCTGACCCCTCCCCCCCCCGTCCGCCTGCCCCCTCCCTCCCCCAGGCCTGGCGCACAGGGCGACTTCTTAGGCGGAAAACCAGTGCGCTCCGCTAACCAGCTAGATCCATGTTTCCGCAGGGCCCTTGCCTCTGGACCACACGGGCCAGGGCCAGGGGCAAGGCCTGGAGCAGAACGGTTTTCTCCGGAATGCGTTCGGATCCTGCATTGAGGTCATGTTGCGGGGCTGGACCTCCCTGGGGGGCCCACGGCAGCCTTCCCCTCACCTCCCCCCTTCCCATTCCCCCTTGATGCCTTCAAGCGCCCAAGCGCTCACCAAGTCCAGGTAGATCATCGTCCATATCTGAACGAAGAACCCCACAACCCGAAAGCCTGGCCTCATCAGGACGTCCTTGCGTTCTTCGCCAGGTGCAGTTTCCTTCCTACCTTCTCGCTTCCCTCCCGCCTCTGCCGAGGCAAGACGGGCGTCACGACCCTGGAGCAGAGCATCCAAGACTCCGAGGCCGTGGCCGCCGCAGCCGTGCGGCGCTCCTCCTCGCCGCACTGCGTTTCGTACCCGTTGCGCCCCCCCTTCCCTGACATCCTCTCGCTGCGAAGGAATCACGCAGCGATCCTGACATCCTGAAGTCTAATTTTTTCGACGGGGCGTTTTTGCCTTGGAGATCCCCGTGGGCCACGATCCGTGTGAGAAGTGTGCCGAAGTAGACGGAAGGGTGGGATGCGAATCTTGTCTCCGGGGCCGTCCGTGGAATTCCTCGCGGGCCACGATGCGTGTGGGAGTTGTGCCGAAGTGAGCGGGGCGATGCAATGACGCTTCACTCTGGTGACGCAAATAAAGCTACTGCGGGGCGCGATCTGCGTGAGGGGTGTGCCACTATGCTTGTAATGCTGCTCCAAGGCGAAGTGGCCGCTCGGATGCTTTTTTCATGAAGTTCAACAAAAGTTCCGGGAACGTTCCGGGTCTTTTTTTTATGTTTTTCAAATTTTTTGTTTGACATTTGATTTTTTGAATGTTTTTGATTTTTTTGAACATTTATTTTTGAACATTTTTGAACTTGTTTGAACTTGTCTCGAACTTCGAACTTTTTTTAAATGATTTTTTTTGACGTTTTTTGAATTTGTTTCGAACTTCGTTTTTTCCAGAGAAAATTGGAATTTGTTTGAACGTTTTTTGAATTGTCTTTGAACTTTGAACTTGTTTAGAACTTTTTTGATTTTTTGAACTTTTTTTTGCATTTGTTTCTGGTCGGGAAAGTCCCAAAACAGTTTTTTTTTGAAATTTGTTTTTTTGTTTAAAACTTTTTTGAATTTATTTGGAACTTTGAATTGTCTTTGAGCTTTTGTTGAACTTGTTTTGAACTTTTTTCGAGTTTTTTTTTTTTTTTTTTTTTTTTTTTTTTTTTTTTTTTTTTTTTTTTTTTTTTTTTTTTTTTTTTTTTTTTTTTTTTTTTTTTTTTTTTTAAATTTTTGTTTTTTTTTTTTAAATTTTGAACTTTTTTCGAACTTCGATTTTTCCAGCGTGCTTTTTTTGAACTTGTTTTTGCACTTGTTTGAACTTTCGAAAAAATGACAAAAGGGCGACTTTGCCTCAGCTCCAGCATTACAAAACTATGCGAACCTTGCCTATGGGGACGCAGGTGGAGCTCCCTGTAGGGCGCGATCCCTGTGAGGGGTGGGCCAACGAGGGCGGGGGAACGCTAAGCCTGTCTTCGGGACCGCAGGTGGAACTCCCTGAGGGGCACGCCCTATGCGACATTATATTTTCTCAAAAACGAGCACTTCAGACTACAACTGGAGCTTGCTAGAACCGAATCGCGAACGAAGCGCGCGCGTTGGTCTAGTGTATGTGTGTGTGTATATATATATATATATGTGTGTATGCACAGGTGGTACGGGTTTTTGTTCACGTGTTTTGGACATGCTACAGTTTTAATTGTGGCGCCCCGGAACCCTTTCGAAACCCCTCCTAGCTCTCCCCCCGTTTTGTCATTGTTTTCCCAGCCATCCTATGGTGTTGAGTCATCGTTTTGAAGAGAGAGCGCCCCGCGTCCCATCTCCTCATCTCCTCCTCCCTCTCCTCCTCCGCCTCCGTGCCTCTGCCCTCCGAATGTCAACCATTTCGGCACACCCCTCACACGCTGGCGGGCACGACCCGTATGAGGCATGTGCCGAAGTGGGCGGGGGGACGCGATGCGAAGTTGCCTAATTGGTGCCATAGGTGGAGCTCTTTCTGGTGCACGATTCGAGCGAGGGGCGTCCCCAAATGGGCGGGAGCATGCTGTGCGAACCTTGTCTCTGGAGCTGTGTGTGGTGCTCCCTGTGGAGCGAGATCCGCGTGACGGGTGTGCCGCAATGAGCAGATTGGGCGATCTTCGTGTCTAGTGGGGGCCTACGGGTTTTTGAAGGCAGGTTAGAGCGGCCTACGGGTGGCCCACCACCTGACAAATGTATTACTCAACGCATGCATGTATGGACGCCAGGATGGGATTGTGGTGTATAGACGCTTGTGGGAAGGCACGGATCGATGGATGCATGGAAGTAGCATTTTATTTGTGTGTCACGTGTGGGTTTCTCGGCTGCTTGGATCAAGGCATCTGGATGAAGGTATTCATCGATTCCAGATGATGGGATGTATGGATGAATGGTGCCGCGCTGCGCTAAGAAATTGCACGCTTCAAAGCTGGCTCTCGCAAGAGGGCTCAGAAATTCAGCGAAGCTGAATCTCAATGTCTTACTGGATGATTTCTTAGCAGAAGGTTTTAGTGTAGGAACGGGCTGGTATATGGATGTGTGCATGCACGTTTGTGGGACAGAGCTGCAACGTGCCAGGACCGAGGCGCGCGCGCGAAGCGCACGACGGCCCTTCCGGACCCAAGGTTTAAGGCGTCTGGCGCTTCAAACTGCACGCGCAAGTTGGCCCTAAGCCCGAGGCCCCCTGAGCGAATCAAGGCCTCACAGTACGCTCTGGGACGAACGACACCACACATCGCGGCATGCGCTCACTGTGTGGAGCAAGCCCTGCGCTCGAGCTGAGGCCATTCGTGTACGCGCATGCGTGTACCCGTGATCTTTTCAATGCGTGCAGCCGTGACTTTTTCAAGGGCTGGCGCTTGCTAGAACCTATGCGCGTGCGAAGCGCGCGTGGTTCTAGTTTACATAGATCTTTATTCTTGATTAATTAGTAATGTACAGAAGCTTTCGTCTTGGGTTAGCTGTATATCGGCGACAGGCGCCCAAGAGCGTTCAATATTGCCCCAAGCGCCAAATAGCATCCAGTTGCGCCTAATAGCACCCAAATAGCGCCGGCTAACGATCAAGAGCACCCGCAAGCGCCATGTGAAGGAGATGCAGCATGTCCGCGTTGCTCGCGATTGGGCGCGCTATTAGGCGCCAGTGGGACGACAAACAGCTTTCGTGAGCTACTTCCAGACCTTGAGTTTTTAGAGCGTCCTCTGAGCCAGTCCTATCATGAGATCATTCTCGTCTTATGGAAGTGAAGGTCGGGAAAAGCGAGCGGGAGGAGCAGGAGGCGTAGGGAGGGGCAGGGATGAGGGATGAGGGAGCTGGAGGAGGAGGAGGATACCTATATACATATTTACACACGTATCTAGATTGATATATACATACACATATATATATATATGTATATGTACATATGTATCTATAGATATATATATATATATATCGATATATGTGTATGTGTATATATACACATTAAAAGAAGGTATCCGGGCGTACGAAGTTCTCTCGGCGCACCAGCATCCTGCACGCCACGCCTCCCGTTTCCGCGGGGCCCCTCGTCGGTGCATCGGGGGACGCCAGCTATACGCCCACGCACGCCTGCACCGATCCCAGCGTCTTGGGATCCCGAGCGAAGGATCGGTGCGTGCGCCCTCCTGGCCTGGCCAAGAAGGCACGCGCACACCAGTCCGTCGCCAGGAAGGAACGCTGTCCACAGGACAGCCCGGAGGAAGAGCGGGCCTCGCGGGGAGGGCCCGTGGGTCCAAGAGTTTTCCTCCCTGCGGACCCGCTTCGTTCGTGCCGAAATCATGGGCCCACTTGGCATGGCTCGGACGTGTGCACTTTTTCCTTCGGCGGGGACCATCGAGGAGCATCCTTGAGCATTTGGCGAACAAAAAAACCACGCACGAAACCGACAAAAAGCACAGGGAATGGACGTCCGAGCGATGGCCGGCCCAGGATCTGCCAGGAGTGGTGCAGGCGCAGAGGCGGCGCCCTGGACGAGCAGGCCGCCGCCGTCGCCCCCTGTTCCCCGCTCGCCGGCGCGCGGCCGCGGAGTCCCGTCTCCGGCGCTCTCCCGCGGCCAGGCCAAGATCGAGGCGCTGACCAACAAGCTGAAGGAGATGGCCGAAAAGAAGGCGGGCCCATTCTCTCATTCTCTCTCTCTCTCTCTCTCTCTCCCGCCACTAGCCGGCGAACCAAGAGTTGCATGACCAGGAATTCCAGGCGCTTCGCGTAACCCCACCATCTCGACACGCCCTCTGGACTTTTCCTTGCGGGCCGCTGAACAAAAAGTAACCCCACCATCCGCTTGGTGTGCAGGTGCGATCTGGCCTGCCAACGTGGCGGTCGGGGTCGCCAATTCGCTGTGTGCCGCCCGCCCTGGACATTGCATCTCGCCGCCAGACCGTTGTCGCGCGGCCGCCGAACAAAAAAGTATCCCCACCAGCCCATCCAGAAACAATGCCCAGAGGAATTGCCTCGATCAGGGAAGTGGGCAGCACACACAGGAAGGGTCCCGCAGTGGAGGCCTCTTGGAGCGTCTTGGAGGCCTCTTGGCGGTCCCGGACGCCTCTTAGAGCGTCTTGGGTGCATCGGAGAGCTTCTTGGGGCCTCTTGGGCCTCTTGGAGGTCTCTTGGGGGCCTCTTGGAGGCCTCTGGGGCGCCTGTTGGAGCCTCCTGGGGCCTCCTGGGCCCCTCTTGGGGCCCTCTTGAAGCGCTCTTGGGAGCCTTGGGAGCGCTTTTGGAGCCCTCTTGGGCCATCTTGGAGTCATCGTGAAACCTCGGATGGCCATCGGAAGCGAAATGGCGAGAAAGCCCAAAACATTGATTTTCCAGGTTTGGGAAGGATTTTGGCCTCTTCGGGGCCTCCTGGGGGAGCTCTCTGGCCACTTGGAGCCGTCTTGAAGCGGTCTTGGGGCCTCTTGGAGCATCGTGGGAGCCATCTTGAGGCATTTTGGTATATCTTGAACCATATTGGAGGTCATCTTGGACTCTCCCAGGCGCTCTTGGAGTCATCTGAAGCAGTGCCCCCCCCAGGAGGCCCAAATGTGGCCAAAACCTTAGTAAAAACAATGATTTTGGCATTCTCGCCGAGGCCTCTTGGAGCGTCTTGGGAGCGCTCTTGGAGCCCTCTTGGGCCATTTTGGAGCCATCTTGAAGCCTCGGATGGCCATCGGAAGCGAAAAGGCGAGAAAGCCAAACACGTATAGTTGCCTAAGGTTTAGGAAGGATTTTGGCTTCTTCGGGGCCTCCTGGGTGAGCTCTTTGGTCACTTGGAGCCGTCTTGGAGCGGTCTTGGTGCATCGTGGGAGTTATCTTGAGGCATTTGGCGATATCTTGAGCCATCTTGGAGGTCATCTTGGACTCTCCCAGTCGCTCTTGGAGTCATCTTGAGCTGTGCCCCCCCCCCCCTCCCCCAGGAGGCCCACATGTGGCCAAAACCTTAGTAAAATCAATGATTTTGGCATTCTCGCCGAGGCCTCTTGGAGCGTCTTGGGTGCCTCTGGGGGGCCTCTTGGGGCCTCTTGAGAGCCTCTTGGGGGCATCCTAGGGGCCTCTTGGGGCCTCCTGGGCGCCTCTTGGGACCCTCTTGAAGCGCTTTTGGGAGCCTTGGGAGCGCTCTTGGGGCCATCTCGGAGGAGATCGATCAAAGAAGGGGGGGTCTGAATTAGCGTTGCCCCCCCAAAAGGCCAAAGAGAGAAGCCGTGCACATCTAAGGTGCATGGGCAAAAAGGTGAAACAATGAGGAGCCGTGCGAAACACGAGAACATTACATCAGCAAGGCATGTCGAATAAAGCCCGTCAGACTTTCACACATTCACATCTGAAAAACACATGATACAAATCTCACGTCAAGAACCCCTTCCGGGTAATCATCAGACGACGCGGGGGGAGGGAATGAGGAAGGAGAGAGAAGGAATTAGTAAGCTGACCCTGCGCTCATGCAACAGAAGCGACGCGCTACAAAACGCCGCCGTTTACATAGGAGTCGTGGCGGAGACTGGGATTCAAACGGTAAAACACGTGACACATGTTCATACACCACAACTGAAATGCCCAGCCAGCGTTCGCCACTCTACCCCTGCCTTGCCATTGCTCCAAATAGCGTTCAGTTGCCCTCTGCTGCCAGCCGCCCGGCACGCGAGCGCACGCACCTTCAGCTTCCGAGTGTTACGCGGCCTGCCCCTCCGCCGAGCCGCTGGCAGCGCAAGATCGTAAGAGTCGGGTCGGAATACGCATCTACGGACAGGGTGTTCATTCGGCATCTGGGCGATCTTGCCCATGAGCACGAGTTGCCTGAACATGAGCACTGACCTGAATTTCTGCACGCCGCAACGCTTCAATACAGCGGCGGTGCTGACCCCAAGCTTGCTGCATTCTGCGCTGTTCAGCCAGAGCGTGTGAAGGCAGTACAGCAGCTTCGACATGATGCAAGATTCGAATATTGTCACCTTCTTGCGCAATGTTAGCCGGGCGTGTTTCCACACCTTACACAAGTTTCTAAATCGGCAATTGCCATGCCGAGCTGGCGGCTCAGTTCCGGACCGTTCTGCCCAGATGCGCTCAGCAAGCCGCCCAAATAAACCATGCTCTCCCTGTCTGGGACGCGCTGGTCGTCCGGCTTGGCGAGGGTTGTCCCGCAGCGGACCGGCATGACCTCGGTCTTGCCCCAGTTGAAAGCGCGGCCGTAGTTCGCTCCAGCTCGCTGAATTTCATGCATGCGTTTGCCTACGAACTCGTTTTGGACTCCGACCTCCGACCTTAAGCGTGTCGTCCGCATAAAAGAGTTCGCTGACAGGAACCCTAGCCTCTTGGACAAGCCCCTACGCTTGAAATGCATGGGTTGCGTCGTGCATCAGAACAATCATGACGATCGAGAACAAGAAAGGTGAGAAAGGACATCTTTGGGACACTCCGAACTCTCGGGGTCTCGACGCAGACGCTGCCCTGGCGTCGCGAACTCGAAAAGACCGGTCAGAATATACAGCTCGAATTTCCTCAGCAAACTCCTGCGTCGCACCGAAGCGGACGAGCGCCTGGACGAGGCTGTCGGGGGACACGCTGTCGAACGCCTTCGCCCAGTCTAGCGGCGCCAACATCACAAGTTTGCCCGAACGGGATTCCCACGTACTCTCAGTCATACGTCGAGCAATGAACAGCGCGTCAGTCGTGCCGTGGCCGGACCAGAATCCGAACTGGGTGCTCCAGATTCTGCGTTCTGCACCTGCCTTTTTTCAAGCGGTTGAGAAGCACAATAGCGTATAATTTGCATCCGATCGGTAGCAGAGAGATGGGTCTATAATTTGCGCAATCGGCCGAACCCCCTTTTTTGAAGAAGGCGGTCACAATGCCTCGTGCCAGGCGTCAGGAACAGCTTTCTCGGTCCAGCATCTGTTGCACAGCTTCGTGGCCCAGTCGCACGCCGCCGTGCCAGGTCTGCATATCGCTTTCCAGAACTCGCTGGGGATGTCGTCGTCTCCAGAGGCTCTATTCCTCTTGAGTTTCTGCGCGGCATTGCAAACCTCGTCAGCTCGAATGGGCCCACTATCCACTGGCAGGTCTGGGCCAATCAGCGATGAGTCGTCGACGGCGGTCACCGGCCGCACTGCCCACTGCACGGTGGAGAAATACTCCGCCAGCGTGCTCGCTCGCTTGTCGCTGTCCACGAACGTGCCACTCGCGTCCCTCACGCGGCCCTATCTGGCTTGGGAGCCCTTCCTCAGCTTTCGGATTTCTGCCCAGTCTCCAGAGGCGAGTAGATCGTCAAGCCATCTGTTCCGGTCTGCCTTTACAGACGTCTTGATCATGCCGTTGAGCCGTTTCTCCCCGTCTTAATCGCAATGTTTCCAGGCTTCGTTCCGCGAGGTGGTTAACTCCAAAGTAGCGTTGCTGATCCAGGGGCGGCGCTGGGTAGCTGGCAACGCAGGCAGGCATGCCTCTGCTGCGTGTCGAAGAGCGCCCACCATGTGCGCGTTAAGCTCGCTCAGCGTGCACAAATTGGTGCTCAGATTGGCGTCCGTTTCCACCATCTTGTCAGTAAATATCGCGCCGAAATCATCCTCGATGCGGCCTCGAATGTAGTTTAAAAGCATGCCGCCGACCATCTTTTTGGACATCCACAAGAACTTGGCACATCAGCAAGAAATGGTCTGACGCCAAAGGCACATCCCTCCGCCTCCACGTCCAATACAGTAGCGTGTCTCTCTGCAGAACATACCAAAAAGTCGATTTGGCCAAAGTGCTCTGGAACGGCTGGATCTGTGGGCCGGGACCCAACGTTATAACTTGTTGTCTGCAAGTCTGCCGAGTGATCGAAAGATGTATTGCTCACCACCAACCCTTGAGTGCCGCAAAGTTCCCTGAGCAATCTACGGTTTGAATTCGCGTCAGGCTGAGCAGTGGGGCAGGCCAAAATGGGTCCCAAACCCTAGTAAAACCAGTGATGTTGGCTTCCTCGCCGAGGCCGTTTTGAACGGTCCAGCGACCCGCGAAACGCCCCATCCAGGTCAAGGGGAAGGGGTAGGGGGAGAGGTCAAGACACCCTTCCCGCCCGCAAGCCGTCTCGCTCACTCCCACCCGCCCTCCCAATACATACGTAGCATCCGAGCCTGGCCCGAGCCGCAGCATATTCAGCAGTCGTCTTTGGATGGGCAGCTACTGGGGGCGAATCCGCCGCCGCCGCCGCCGCCTCCGCCGCCGCCGCCGCCGCCGCCGCCGCCGCCGCCGCGCCGCCGCCGCCGTCCGTCGCCGCCGCCGCTGTCCGCCGCCGCCGCCGTCGCGCCGCCGCCGCCGCCGCCGCTGTCCGCCGCCGCCGCCGCCGCCGCCCGCCGCTGTCCGCCGCCAGCCGCCGCCGCCGCCGCCTCCTCCGCCGCCGCCGCTGCCGGATCGCCGCCGCCGCAGCCGCTGCCGCCGCAGCCGCTGCCGCCACCGCTGCCGCCGCCGCCGCTGCCGCCACCGCCGCCGCCCGCCGCCGCCGCCCCCGCCGCCGCCGCCGCCACCGCCGCCGCCACCGCCGCAGCCGCCGCAACCGCTGCCCCCGCCGCAGCCGCCGCCGCCGCCAGGTGTACGTTGTATTGTTTTTTTGACAGGGATAGTGGGGGGAGGCCGCATCGGGTTCGTTGCGCATGCTCCGAATTTGGAGGCAGAGTGTATTTTGTAGTGAGGAGGGATGGTGGGGGGATGCCCTCATTGACTCGGGTTGGCTCTCAGTCGCTTTGGGGAGGGGGTGTACATTAATAGGGAGCAGTCGTCAAGACTCCCTCCCCGCCCGCAAGCCGTCTCGCTCACTCCCACCCGCCCTCCCAACACATACGTAGCACCCGAGCCAGGCCCGAGCCGCACCATATTCAGCTGTCGTCTTTGGATGGGCAATTACTAAAGGCGAGTCCGCCGCCTGCGCCTCCGCCGCCGCCGCCGCCGCCCCCGCTGCCGAATCGCCGCCGCCGCAGCCGCTGCCGCCGCAGCCGCTGACGCAGCCGTTGCAGCCGCCGCCGCCGCCACCGCCGCCACCGCCGCCGCCGCCGCCGCCCCCGCCGCCGCCGCCGCCACCGTCGCCGCCACCGCCGCAGCCGCCGCAGCCGCCGCCGCCAAGTGTTTTCTGTATTTTTTTTGACAGGGATGGTGGGGGAAGGCCGCATCGGGTTCGCTGCGCATGCTCCGAATTTGGAGGCATAGTGTGTTTTGTATTAATTTGTATGTTCCCGGTTGGCCCCCAGTCGCTTGGGGGAGGGGGTGTATACTAATAGGGAAAGTGAAAAAAAAAACGTTCCCGAAAGGGAAAAAGAGAGTGGAAGAGGAAACGCCCTGAACCACCTACGCACCTAAAAGGCTGGTGGGACTTGGCTGGTGGGACTTGCGGAGATCCGCTCGGATTTTTTGGATCGGCTTTGGGGCTTCCTGGCGGCGCCTCCAGCGCCGCCCCTGACGCGCGCGCCGGGGCGGGGGGCCCACCGCAGATCCAAGACGTCCACGTGGGCCTCCTACAGTTTCACGTGCGTATGCAGTGAGCCAAACGGGCTCCGAGGTGTTCCGTTTTTTTCTGATCCCCTGGGCCCTCCACCGGTCCCGGGGCCGTCAAAACACGACTCGGGATGAACAGGGGGCATGGGGAAGCTTCGGTGTCCAGGACCTGCGTCCTTCAGAGCCCATTTTTCTTTGTGCCAATCTGCTAGGGGATGCAGGGTTGCATCATTCAGGTTCTCCACGTCCTCGTCGTCGTACCCCTCCTCCTCCTCCTCCTCCTCCTCCTCGTCCTCCTCCTCCTCCTCCTGCATTGTTCTTCCAATCCTTATCATTTTACGGTGCCTCTTCTGCCTTGTCGCCAGCCACCTCTTCTCGTCGTCCTCCACGTCTTCATTCTCTTCCGCCGCCTGCCTCCTTCTCCCTCTACTGTCTTCTCTCTCCCTCCTGGTCCCTCCTTCTCACTCCCTCTTGCTCGGTGGGAGCGACACCGATTGCCACATCGATGACGGATCAGAGTCGAACTTGGCCGCGCTCTGGGCGCATCGGTGCTCACGTGCACTGGGCAGGGACGTGACGATGCTACCAGTAGTTCGATGGCGGGCTCGAGGACCGCAGCTGAGCATGTGGTCATGGCTTCGCCTACGCTCGTAACCCACGCAGGCGTCGGAGCCGCGAACGTGTGAGTTGCCAGCGCACCATCGGCCATCCCTGAAATCCTCTCCTTGTGAAACTCACGACGGAGGGCGCTCGAGAATTTTGACCTCTGGGGCCCTTACCAGGGCACGGAAGAAAACCGGGTCGTCTTCACCGACGTTGGCGAAGGCGGCCGTACGCGCCCTCGCTTCCAATGTAACGTGCCGCGCTGGCGGCCCGCGTAAGCCGCGGCGTGAGGTCGCTGTGTCATCTCACGTAAGATATGTTTCTTTTCGTCGCTCATTCTTTGTGAGAAAACAAGACGTCGGACGTCTGGGATCATCACCGCCTCATACTCGCGCGCGCGGGGTGCCCGTGCGGACGCTCTCTGTACAGCTCTGAGTGCTGGGGGGCCATTGCCACTCCGAGTACGGACGCTTGCAGGGCAGCTTTGGGCAATGGTAGAGACGCGATTGCCTCTCCTGAATGCACCCAGGGTGCCCCATCCTGAACTGCCAGGCGAATCCCTCCTCCCTAAGCAATTCTCCCTCCGTCGCCCTCCTTGCCTCTTCCCTCGCTCCTTCCATTCACCGTCTTTATCGTTCATCCCTCCTCGACTCCCCCTCCCTCCTCTCCACCTCTGGCGGCGGCGGCGACGGCGACGGCGACGTCGCCTCTTCTCCCCCTAGAGGCGACGGCGGTGGCGACGGCGACGGCGACGGCGACGGCGACGGCGACGACGACGACGACGACGACGCTGACGGCGACGACGACGACGACGACGACGACGCTGACGGTGGCGGCGGCGACGTCGGCGGCGGCGGCCGCACGCGTAGGCGGCCACCGAGGCGGCCCTGGCGGAGCACACCGCGAGCCGCGCCGAGGCGAAGGACCAGATGGCGAAGGCGCGCCGCCTGCCGCCGGGGCCGTCGTCTTCCCCGGGCTGCCCTTCCGGGGGCCCTCAGGCCGCTACGCTGCGGAGTGCCTCTTCGCCGGAGAGTGACCTTGGGTGCGCGGGTTCTGGGCGATGCAGGCCGCTACTGCCACGTCGCGTGCAACGATCGGCAAGCCGCGCACCAACCGTCGCTCTTGCCTGGGGTCACTCTTGCGTGTAGCCGACCCAAGCGGTGTGGTGACCGCACCGCGTGGTGAGGGTGAGTCGGACGTGTTCGGAGTTCGGGATTTTCGGGCGTTTCCGTCCGTTCCTCGATGTCTTCCTGATGGGCCTGTTTTCGACCACCACCACCACCACCATAAGCTGGAGGGGGGAATGAGGTGGTGGAGGAGGAGGAGGAGGAGGTGGAGGACCCGCTTCCCCTCCCACTTATGGTGGAGGTGGTGGAAATTAGCCCACCAGTTCCTGCCTCGGGGAGCGTTCCAGCAGCTGTGCCTCGCCGAGTGCGTTCCCGGGGGCGCCTCGGGCGCCCAGCTCGTCCCGATCGGCCGCCCGAGGCCCGAGGCATGGCCCGAAAACAGCCAGGCGCCGCAGGTGCCGGGGGTCCCCAGACGGTGCGGCAACCGCACCGCGTAGTGAGCCAGTGGGGATCCGGGGCCACCACACGGTTTTGGGACTCGGGTCGGTTCGGGAGCCTTGAGACGGGGGTGAATGCAAGCGGGGGTCAGCCAGAGCGTCCGCTCTTGCAGGATCCTGCAGGGCCATGGGCGCATTGACCCGGGTTTGGGTGCAGGACCCTGCAGGATCTCACATAATCCTTCGCATTGACCCGGGCTTGGGTGCAAATTCCTGAAAGGCCCGATTGACCCAGATTTGGATTGACCCGGGTCAGAAGATCCCCGAGTTGTTCTCCGAGGGCGTCTCGGGCGGCTGGGGCCTCCAGGTTCCCAAAGCCGTGTTGTGACGGACCGCGCGGTGAGGTCGTGAGGAATTCCTGGGGCACCGCACGGTACGTCACCGCACGGTTGTGGGGGCCCGAAGTCTTTGTCCGCCGCGGCCACGGGAGGCCATCGTCGCGGTCTGGGCAACGGCCAGCAGTACCGTGGCAATGTGCACCGGCTCGAGCGGCAGGGGAGGAGCAGCGGCCGCGGAGAGAGGAGGAAGCTTGAAGGCCGTTCGTAGTGCACGGCACGTGCGCAGCCTTCAAGGCAGGAGCGCTCGCATCGGACGAAGCACCCCGTGAAAGTTCAGCCCTCCTAGCTTTTTGATGCAGAGCACCAGAGGCTGCAACCTGGCTGTCCTGAGCACCATGAAAACATGATGGCGGAGGCCCGATCAGGCGGTGATCGCCTTCCAACGGGTCGCGGAGGCGGCCTCGGGCTCGCGGATGAGGCCGCCGAGCCCCAGACGGCCGGCGCCCCGCAAAGGTCGGGCCGGGGCCGAGGGCCGTCTGGCCAGGGCTCGTCGTCTGTCGCCCAGGCCGGCGTCCCCAGCCGTCCAGCGTCTTCGAGAGAAATGATGTCTTCGGCCGCCCTCGGCCTCCGTGTGCCCTCGCTGGGGTTCCTGGGGCCGTCGGCTGTGCGGCTCTGGGGGTTGAGGGCAGAGATTTGTGGGGTCGGATTGTCTGGTCGTCGTTTTCCTCGTCGTTGACGTTGCCACCGTCGTCGAGGTCCACGTTGTCGGCGTTCCTCCCATCTGCCTTCTCATCTGTCTCCTTCCGCATTTGTTCGTACCCCCCTCCTCCTCTTTGAGCTCGACCCTCCTCGTTGCTCTCGTTCACCATCCCTTTTGTTTCTCCTCCTCCTCCTACTCGTCCTCCTCCTCCTCCTCCTCCTCCTCCTCCTCCTCCTCCTCCTCCTCCTCCCCTCTTTTTCCTCCAGTCAATACGCACTTCGGGCCAGGATGGGCTCTGCGTTTCGGGCCGTAGGTTAGGGAACTTATCGAAGACGCCTATGGCGAATCACCGCCGCCCCCTGCCTTGTTGGAATCGCCCATGTGGCCGAGCGTTGTGGCGCAAGCTCTGCCAAGCTATCTGACCATGTGTTCCCCCAGCCGTTAGGGAAACCCTGCGCGGAACACTTTGGCGAGGATGGCGGGGAAGATGAGGAGGAGGAGGAGGAGGAGGAGGAGGCCGCATCTTGGGGGCCTTTGGGGGCACTCTTGGGGCCTCCTGGGAGCTTCCTGGGAGCCTATTGGGGAGATTTGGGGGGCATCCTTGGGCCTCTTGGGAGCCTTTGGGCGCTTCTCGGGGGCCTCTTTGTCAGTTTTAGGGTGTTCCTGGCACGTCTGACGCCGTCGGAAGCCGACTTGGGGGCCTTTTGGGGCCGACTTGGGGCCCTCTGGGGGTGTTCCAGGGCCGTCTCGGAGGCCATCTTGGGCGTCTTGGGGGCCTCTTGGGCCGTCTCGGGGACCTCTTGGGGCCGTCTGGAGGACCTCTTGTGCCGTTCTCTGGCGATCTTGGAGGCCTCTTGGAAACACATGCTAACATCTGTCAAAAACCAAAGGGCAATCATTCCTTTTTGGCATCTTCGGGCCTTCCTGGAGGCCCTCATGGGGGCCTCTTGGGCCGTCTTGCAGGCCTCTTGTAGACCTCATGCGGACCTTTTAGGCCGTTGTAGGCTATCTTGGGCCGTCTTGGGTACATCTTGGGACCATGTTGGGTTCTCTTGGAGGCCATCTTTAGGTCATCTTGCCCTCTTGGAGGCCATCTTGAGCCGTCTTGGGGGGATTTTTCCGGGCTTTGTGGTTGTTTGCGGTCACTTCCAGGTGGCCGGCGCTGGGCCGAAGCCCCAGGAGGAGTGCCTTCTCTTGTAAACAGAGCCAGAACCGAGCCGTAAAGGATTCAGCACGCCAGGCACCCATGTGATAAATCAACAGGAGTCGGCGGATCGAAGACGCCTACGGCGAATCACCACCGCCCCCTACCTTTTTGGAAGCGCCTATGTGGCCGAACATTGAGGCCAGACCTGCCAAGCTATTGGACTATGTGTTCCCCGAATCGGGTTGGAAAGCCTTCGGGGAACATGGGGCATCTTGAAGGTCATCTTTCCGTCTGGAGGCCATTTTGATCCTTTCGGGCCTTCTTGGAGGACGTCTTGGAGGGCTCTTGAGCCGTCTTGGAGGCCATCTTGAGCGTCTTGGAGACCTCCTGGGCCGGCTTGGGGGCCTCTTGGGGCCGTGTCTTGGGCCTCTTGGGCGATCTTTGGGGGCACTTGGGCCGTCTCGGGCCGTCGGAAGGCAGAACAAAAAACACATGCCACCGTCCTTCAAAAACTAATGGGAAATCACTGATTTGGGCCTTTTCGAGCCTTCCTGGAGGCCCTCTTGGAGGCCTCTTGGGCCGTCTTGGGCCATCTTAGGGCCATGTTCGGCAGTCTTGGTGGGCTCCTGGTCCGTCTGACGCCGTCGGAAGCCGTTTGGGGGGCCTCTATGGGCCGACTTGGGGCCCTCTTGGAATGCTCCAGGGCCATCTTGGAGGCCATCTTGGGCGTCTTAAAGGCCTCCTGTGCCGTCTTGGGGGCCTCTTGGGGCCGTCTTGGGGCTCTCTTGGGCCGTTCTGGGGCCATCTTGGAGGCCTCTTGGGCGATCTTTCGGCGATTTTTGGGGGCTCTTGGGCCGTCTCGGGCCGTCGGAAGGCCGAAAAGAAGCAAATGTCAAAATCCGCCAAGAACCGTAGGACCATCAATGGTGTTGGCCTCTTCTGGCCTCCCTGGAGGCCCTCTTGGGGGCCTCTTGGGCCGTCTTGGGCCAGCTTCGAGCCAACTTCGGTCATCTTGGTGGGTTCCTGGCACGTCTGACGCCGTCGGGAGCCGTCTTGGGAGCCTTTCCGGGCCGACTTGGGGCTCTCTTGGGGCGCTTCGGGGCCGTCTTGGAGGCCGTCTTGGAGGCCATCTTGGGCGTCTTGAGGCCTCTTGGGCCGTCTTGGGGCCCTCTTGGGGCCCTCTTGGGAGCGATCTTTGGCCGTCATGGGGCAATCTTGGAGGCCTCTTGGGCGATATTGGGGCGATTTTGGAAGCCTCTTGGGCCGTCTTGGGCCGTCGGAAAGCAGAGAAGGCGCAAATGCCACAATCCTTCAAACACCTAAGGAACATCAATGATTTTAGCTTCTTCGGGCCTTCCTGGAGTACGTCTTGGAGGCCTATTGGGGGCGTCTTAGGCCGTCTTCGGCCATCTTGAGGCCATCTTAGGCCGTCTCAGGTGCGTCTTAGGCCGTCTTGGAGGAATATTGGGGCCATCTTAGCCGTCTTGGAGGCCATCTTGGCCGTCTTGAAGGCATACGGGGCGCACTTTAAACGGAGAAGGTTAAAGGCGAGGTATAAATCGAGCATGTACCGCTGCCGTGCCTGGCTCAAGCCGGGCCCGGCCAAATATGTGATTGTGCCTCACCGAGGCGCACGACTTGTATCTGAGATCGGAAAATACCTTTTCCATTGACGATGCCCATCCTATCCTTTACTCCAGATCCCATGCTTCGTCTTGCTCTCTTGCTCATGCGATATGAGCCAAAGCCTGGGATATGGCAACGCTTAAAGCGTAACACATACCTAAGCTTACCAGTGTTTTCGACTTGGTAGCGGAGCTGGCTACACTCTCGTGTGGCTGGCTCTCGCTCTGATTCCTGTAATCCACGGCACAACTTGGTGGACTACTACTACGGTGGAATACCATGTTGCGCCGGCTCTGCGAGGAGCGGAGCCAGTCCGCGATCGAGCTAGCGGGGCAACCCGCGAACTCGAGACGCTCTCTCCTACTTCACTGCGCCACTTCACTCCCGACTTCCACCAGATGCCAATCGGCAACTCGATCGAGAACGTGGTCACCCTGCGGGGCTACCCGCAGCGGGGCCACCTGCATCCCGTGCCAGTCAGGCGCCTCACGGCTACTACGCCAGAGCCTGACAAACCACAGCCTAAACCAATCACCGAAGCCGAAATGCACATGCACTGGATTAAGATAACTATCTTCGGCATTCTGTGGGTAATAATGGGATGTGCTGTGGGATACATGCGG